TATAAAAAGTTAAAAACTTTTTAATAATGTTAAAAATAAGATATATTTGTTATAACGATTTTAGAAATATAATTAGAATGAAAAAATGACAAGTCAAGTCTGGAACATTCTGTGTAAATTATAATACGATCTATAACGGAACATAATGTTAATTTTTTCCATGCAATATTTTGCAATACACCACCAAACATCTAAAACATTACAGATCTCTTTTGTTTATTCGATTAAAACGCTATTGCACTACTAAAAATCATAGACCAATCGAAATGGATTATAATTTTATTACTAAATTATTAATAAAACATGTTAGATATTTTTTTTTCTTATTGAGACTAATATTTACAGTTATTTTAATTATTCTCACTATAAAAATGAAAAAATGGACAAAACCTGTTTTCAGTTTCCTATAAAAATAAAAAATAATGATGTTTTATCAAGAAACTGACTTTTTTTAATAAAAATAGTCATGTGACATTATTTTTTTAGGGACTATTTTCAATATAAAATTGTGGACCATTGTATTGCTATTGTGTTTTAACTGTTGTCAATAATTGTCGGATAATTCTCATATTCCAAATTTAAAGAATTTTGAGGCGCAAAAAAAGTACTATAATATTTTCGAGTTAAAATTTTTAAGGGTTGTAATTAAAATTTATACACTAACAGCCACCTCCGATTTTTATTTTTAAACAAACTTATAACTTCCAATCTTAATTAGTTCTTAAAGATGAGCATTTTCGATTAAACATAAACGGAAAACCAAAGGCAGACGCTCTATTTTACAATGAATTGGACAAGGTATAACAAAACCGCGAGTGAAACAAACAACTGCTAAGCAGCGGATTACCTATTCTGTGGGTTGGCACACTTCTTGCTCACTTTAAACTTACGCTCGTTCCTAATAGATTTGACTTAACTTTCCGAATATGTATTTGGAGTATATCTGTATCGTTATTTAAATTATGATATTCTTGTCGATACCGTAGAGACAAGAAAACTTTCTTCTCACTTTTTAACACACAAAAATCTCGTCTGGTATGTGCCCAGACACGATAACTCGCGAACAAAAGCTCCGATCCACCTGCGGTTTTCACTTTATTTGATTTCTTCCAGCAGTGAACGCTTAGCTTATTATATGCACTGCGGTATAAGAAACAACACTTTTAAGAACGGCTACTGATTTAACTACATGGCAATCCTTGTAAATTGTCAAACTACAGACATTTGTTTCTATATTGCTGTCATTCTTGAACGTCAAATACTATTTCAAGTTTTTTGAAGGATTTTTATTTGTATTCCAATAATAAGAAAGAAATGGAATATACAGTGACCACCAACATGGCTATTTGGAGAAAAATGGTGAGACGTTAGATGATAGAATCATTACTTACGGATCTGCTATAGTTTTAAAAAACTGAAATCTTTACATCGAGAATTTTTTGAAGTATTCATAAAGATAGAGATAGATTTGGCACGTACTTATGGAATTATTCATTAGAAAATGCTCAGCTCTAATCAATTATTATCTCGACAATGACAGTATCATATTGCCGACTACGTTAGTATAACTGTCGATTACAACCCATATATAATAAAAAAAATAATTCAAAAGTTAACCAAGAATTAAATTTAAGATAAATTTTAAACGTACAAAATATTTTTATTACAGGGAGTCAGAAAAGTAGCTTTACGATTGGCCTATTTTCTTTAAACCACAAATTTACATTAGACTTGGCAACGAAATACAGGCCGGAGTCCTAGACAGGCGACCGCGACGAATAACATTAAGGTGTCATTTGAAAACGCGATACAGATGCACATATTTATTTTTTTTATTATTTCAGTTAAGACGTTTTCCTGGTAATGAACTGTTCGATTTGTATTTAAAACGCTTCACAAATTGACAAGAAACGTGTGTTCACGTGGTAGATGAGAGCGTCAGGCAATCATAGAGGATATACTCGATAAGAGAATCACCTCTTGGCAACGTTGTCAACTACATTAAATATGTAGGCTGGCTCACGAGCTAGGAGGTGTCTATCAACTTAGGAGGATTCACAATAGGCCTAATGAGGCCTAAGTGCGTGGGTTAACCCACCCTCCACTCGTTATAGATACTCATTATGGATATCAATTAGGCAATATGTCCTGTTAAAAATAAATCCAATATGGCCGATGATTGTAAAAAAAAAAACAATATCTGTGATAAAAAGTTTGTTAATCTAACTTTTTAGTGTTTGATTGTTTTTATTGCAAATTTGTGAGTGATTAAGACTAAAAATATTATGTGTCCAACACATAACTTTTCTATAAAGTTATTAAATATATTAAGTACGACCCATCTAATCAAAAAGTTTCTAGAATATGAAGGATAAAAATTATTAAACAATTTATTATCTTCATACTGAAAAATTTCAATTTTTGCACGTTTCTTCAAATTTCTCCATTACGGTCCATTTTCGAGAAATCATGTATATTGTCATTCTTTATATAAAAAATCATATTTATCGTAACACATCTAAATTAAGTAATTATTTAAATAACACCCTGTACATAAAACCTTGTTTATGTCGTGAATTTGTTTTTAAGTTGCAATCATGTACAAGGTTGATTTTTTAATAATTATTATAAATATTGGATTAAAGTTATAAAGGTAATTTCGAGGGGAAGCACAGGACAGGATTCTTCCTTGAGGAGACCCTCCTTGTAGGAGATTCCCAGTAGCGGCTGTAGATCGCTGATATTCCGATTGGAGGATCGTAAAAAGGTTTAAAACTTGCGTTTTATATTTTTAATCATGGTTTTAATAATTAGCCAAAGGTTGTTAAATGTGTCCCAAGTATTGGAGTTGGTAAGTTGATATATTTGTTATTATATTGAGCCCATATTTGTGTGTAGTGGCGTATTTTGTATAATTGTTTTACATGAAAATATATATTTGTTTTGAGAAAACATTGTTTCTTTTAATCTCTTACAGAGGTACGTTGTTAGGCCCTGATGTTAAGAGTAGAACCCTTATTCAGTTAAGGGCTACGAAGCCAAGTTTAAGGTCATAGTTATTTTATGATTGAGGTCCGAATTTATATATTTTGTTTAACCCCTGGGACATAATTATTATAGAACACTTATAACGTGATATTTTATTTAAAGGGCACGTATGTCGTGAAAATATGACAAAAATTATACAGAATTCGATCACCGAGGGGTAAACACCACTAAGGTCAAAACGTACCTGTATTTCGGAAATAACCAAAAATTCGTATGATTTTACAATTTCGGCGAAATCGCCCATGTTTTATATGAACGATTTCGCTGAAGTCTCCCTAAATTTTATTAATATTGAATAATCATGAAGTTTTCTCCTGTACATTTTCTTGAGGAATATTCAAAATACCTTTTTATGCTCTTCATTTGTTTCTTGTTCAACCATTTTTTTGGCCTTCACTTATTTTTTCGATCCACCTCCAATTTTGGTGATGATTTTGGCTATGATTTCGGGATTTCCGTGATGATTTCGGAGATTTGGAGAGAAATTGTAGCGATTTCGAGTGAAAACTTACCAGTATTTGGGAGATGTTTATCCCTCAGGTATCAGAAACAACTCTTATTGAAAGAATTTTCTTTTATGATAATGAATTACAGAAATATATATTAAGGTAGAAAAATGTGCCCATATAAAGTACCCTCAGATGTTCCGACTATGCCCAAAATTTAATCAGCTCACCATAGGATGGACTGAAGCTAAACTTTAAAATTTGTTTTTCTCTTTATCAGACACAAAAAGTGCAAAACATTTTAGTTTTTTCATTGGTAATGAAGACATGAAAAAATAATTCAAAAGAAAATGTGTGTGGTAATTTATATTCTTAACACTTTTTGATTGGACGTACCGCACTCAATAAATTTGAGAACTTTACATCAATGTCAATGTGTTGGACCCATCAGATATTTTAACTCTACAAAACCGAAAACAATAATACACAGGACTGACTAATAATCTCACTAGAAATGTTATGTCAATCGTCCACAATTTACAGTCATGTGATTTGAATTTTCTAATATGACAGGCTGTATTTAACAGTTGAATTGCTTCTGAACGTGAATGTAGCATAAAATCTTACGGTTTTCCTTCAGTGTGAGGTATACTAATAATGCAATGTTTATATAATGAGAAAATACCATTGAAGAGTTAAACAGAATTAAAACAAGTTTCTTTCACAAGTTTTAGTGACACTCTGCTTCGTATTCCAGAGCAAATCATAATTTTTATTCATTTTGTTGATCAACACTCAGATTAAGTTGCATTGAGTTTTACCATTTCGATGATGGTGTGTGGGATTTTCTCACCGCTAAGACAATTTGAAACATCAATCATTACGCACCACGGTAAAAAATAATAGTTTCTCTCAATAATTCCTGGTAAAAATTTTTCAGAGCTTCAAGAGTTCGATTGCAAGAGATTAAATTAATAGGGAGAGTATTATTGTACAACCGACAACATGTGTTCAGCAATATGTAATTAAACTTTGCCATTTTAAACCAAACGGACAATATTTTGAACTCTCCTTGCCAAGTAATGAATAAATTATTACATTTCTCATATAATTGGGGTAAAGCGACTTTTCAACCACTCTACGTGCCTTTTTTGTAAAAAAAAAAAAAAAATTTAAATTTAATGGAAAAACCAAATTAAAAAGTTTAACAATATATATTTCCAGGTCAATTGTTAATTGATTTTGTCTTATTAATAACAATCACAACAATAATCTACATTAACGTTCATTTTTTATTTTCGTAAAAAGAACATTCGGTAGTATAATAGTAAGTAGTGAATAATAACTAAGTACCGGTTTATTTTTCAATTATTCGATTAAAAAATTATAAAATATTTATTATAACATTTTTTTTTAGGTAATACTTTCTTAACAACCTAAATAATGTACATAGAACTTAATAATTAAAATATATACATAATAAAAAATATGATTTTGTTTTATGAACGGTCATTTAAAAAAACGCAATTTCTTCTCCTTCGCGATTCTGTTCAAAAAAAAAAATAATCTTGAATCAGCTTATATCACATTTCAGAATAAAAAATCCTAATCATCCATTCGTTTGTGTCGTGTTTTTTGAAGTTAAATTGATTACAAAAAAATATTCAAACTTCAATTTGATTCAAAATCATCTCAAAGAACAGTAAAGTAGCCCCCCCCAGATATTAAAAGCGTATATCACACGAATCAAGAATCTTCCTAAAAAAAAAACTTTAGAAAACAATTCCAAATTAAAGCCACGCCAATTCGACTGGTCTAAAATTAGATACACCTTAAGAATTAGGATAATACTGCGTAGGAGGTGGAGCCGCATTATTTACGGGAGGAGCGTACTGTGGATATTCACCATACGGCGCAGCTGGCGTGGTAGTGGGTGGAGGTGGGTACATACCCTGGGGCGGAGGAGGAGGCGGGTACTGTTGAGGGTATGGATTGTATCCTGGATAAATGGGCTGGGCGGGAGGAGGAGCTTGGCCACTGTAATCGTATCCCGGTTGAGGGGGAGGATGGGGCGGGTAGTGCGGTTGAGGTGGAGGCGGGTACCCTTGATAACCATAATTGTATTGGGGTTGCTGCGGCTGAGGTGGATATCCCATCATGTCGTACGGCTGTGGAGGTGGTTGAGGTGGATACGCATATCCTTGAGGAGGTGGGGCGTGATAGGGAGGAGCGGTATAATTATAATAATTATTGTAATTATATTCTTGCCCCTCCGGTTTGACTTGATCTGAATGCGTGCTCGTCGTTGGTTGAGGGTTCGGCGTTTGAGATTGGTATTGTGATGTGGGCGATTGGTCAGAGACATACGTGACGTCGTCACTATGATCGCTGATTTCGCTTTGTTCTTGATGTTTGTGATCGGAAGTTTCCGAAACATCGTCTTCGAAAGATTCCAGATTATCGTCGTTTGTCGCTTGATATGCACTGGTAATACTGTCCAGGGTGTCCTGTGAAATATAAAATTAGTTATAGATTGTACTAATATTCGCCATGCAATTAAAACTCACCTGAAAAGGTGTATCTCCCAACATGGAAGAATTACTGTGGTCTAAATGATCTCCAGAGTTCTCAGGACTACTCTCCTCCTTTTCTTCTTCATCCAGCACCGGCCGTAACTGCGAAGACGTCGCCTGAGATTGTGGGGGCGTAGTTTGTTGGGGAGGAGCTTTTGGCGCACCTTGCGTCGACACCCTCTGGATGGAAATGTTCTTTTTTAATTGAGATATTCTCTTTTCTATGTCGTCGTTGCTATCTTGCGTGTGGGACATGGCCAGTTTCTTCATTCTATCCAGGGAAAGTTGAGGCGTTTCTCGGTGCTCGTCGTCGCTAGTACTTGCCGGAACGCCGTCTTCTCGGGTCGTTAGAGATTTTGCAATTTCATTACCGACATTTTGTGGTTTCGTCTTACCTACATAAGATGATTAAATAATATTACTTAAATATCTTTTTTTTTTTTTTAAATTTGTTATTGGTTCATATACTAATTTTAGATTCTTTAATAAATGTTATCAATGTATAAAATACTTTCTTATTGTTTGAGTTTAATAGTAACGTGATGTTGATAGGAAAAGAAGTACTTAGATCTAATAAAAATAAATTGGTTGAGGTTGGTACATGCAAATATAGAATGAATGATTATTGTCACAAGAACAGAAGAGGGTTGTTAGGCCCCTGATTTTAAATAGAAAAAAAAAAAAAAACAAAATTTATTGTGAGTCAACCTCATTCTAGTAATGTAAATAGAATATTATTTAGACATTTGAAATTCAAAAATAACGTTTAAAAAAAATATATTTGTCCACGACCACTTAATAATAAATTAATATTCTACCTCCTAACTAAAAGCATATGGTACCCATATATCATTAGAATGAATTATGATAATTCACGCTTTTGTAATTCTGGCAATTTCCGGTAGGTAACTAAAAATAGGCAATACTTTTCATAACGATATTTTCTAGATCGAAAAATCAGAAATTCACAAAACTGAATTTAACTGTTTACGTTTACTTATGAGACGGCGATATACCAGAACATTCTAGGAGGGTCTTGCGTACGTGACCGCTTGCATGAAATATATTTGACTCTATTGTGTTGAAGCGAGAGAACAGCAACAGTAAGGCAAGTATTAAATAAATAAATGTTACAATATAGCTGAACAGACAGTTAGGTTGAAACTGAGACCCCTCTTATAACCATCCTTAAGATACATAAAGCCAGGTCCACATCAAGCAATTTTTTTGGTATTTGATGTATTTAACACAAATTTGTTTGTGTATGTGTTAAAATTTACGTAGATATGTACTATGCACACACAAATATTTGTGACAGATACAACACAGGCTATCCATTAGATTAGACTATCGGTTTTTGTAATGACATCAAAGAGATTTGTGTGAACGTGGACTTGATTTCAGATTTTTAAAACATAATCTGAAGACTAAATGAGAATGTTAGCTATATTAAGATCAATCCATTGCAAACGAAAGAGAATGGTGACGAAAATCTATAAAAAACTTTAATAATTATGAAGACAAAATTTTCTTCAGATGTCACAAGTTGATTGTGAAAAACTGAATAATTTAGCCGCAATGAAAATGGATTCACAACATAACTCAAAGCAACATTTTTGCCACAAATATTTTTGTTAATTTCAAAATACAACGCACAAAACATAAGTGTGTTGATCTGGACGCGCCTTAATATTTTATATTTTGTGTCTCAAATTATCTCTCTATCTATCTAAAGATGAAAGCCATGTTTAAAGATGTCAACGTAAAAACAACCTTTTTGTAATCCATAATACATTCAGAGACATGTGGATTATAGAATACACACTTTGATGTTACCACTGGAAAATTTTAATTATTTTCAAATTGATGCGATTGATAGACAGGAAGGTCCAATTTCTTGGAACTCGTGAATAAATTCGCCGATAAAATAACTTTCATATTTGATTGAATTATATAATGATATCGATGCGATGGTACAAAACTACATTTAATATAATAATTAAAAATCATTAGAAACTTACCCGCTTGCACTTTTTTCTGAATACTTCGTATCCTAGAAACCAAATTCGGCACAGATTGTTTAACGCTCTGCACACCAAACTTAGCAGTACCGGGTACAAAAGGTTTGACCATCCTCTTCTGGGGAAGCACGGACAGCGATGGATTCCCTTTAATGGAAGGCGGTAAGAGGGGAGGTTTCGCCATTTTGGATGATTCCGAACCGGAACCATCATCGGATTTTCCTTTAACTTTAATGGCAGTTTTTATGGCAACAATTTTGCCACTTTCCAATTGCATGTAAACGCCTTTCGGCGATTTGAGAACCAATACTTTTTGGCCGGCTTTGAGGACGATGTTACCTTTCTCTGGTTGGTTGGTGGGGATGACAACGTCCAAGGGAAGGGTCATTTCTTGGGCTGTCATGCCTTGGCGTTGCCAGTGTTCCGCAGGAATCCACCTAACATAATAACAAAAATTGAGTTTTACAAACTTTACGATAAAGTTATACAATTTGTAGAGTAAATAATAGACCTTCAAAGTGATAACTTCAAATTATGCTTGTTTTTGGAATTACATAGAGTCATAACATAACTAACATCCTGGCGGCTGTTAAATTGAATAACACAGAAGAAAATAATAGCTAGGAGATTGTAAATACATTTGCTGATTTGTTTAGTGCTAATTATAATAAAGACCAAATGCATTTTCAATGATAAAGTTTACATTGGAAGTATTTAATGGTATTTGTCATTTGTACTCTCAAAGATAAATTTACTTCTGGTCCCGTTGGAATTCCTTCATATTTCATACTGTCTACCATCTATCGAAGTTGTTTGAAAAGCAATTATCGACCATTATTTACGTTGGCATTGTAAAAATTTAATTAACAGCCATCAAAATGACTTTGCGGAGGGAAAATAAACTAAAACCAATTTATTAACTTGTCATTATATCGTTACCACCCTTGAATCTATTTCGCAGTTGGATGCAACTTATTAAGATTTTGATCGGGTCAATCATAATTTATTCTAAATTGTTTTCATATTTTCTCGTATTAAAAATCAGCTTTTATACTATAACGTTTTTGCCCGACATTTTTTGGTGTTTTGAGGACCTGTTATTTATCAAACTCCCCTGTAGTCAAGATTCATAACACCCAAACGCTAATATCTGCTATAATGTGCACACACATAAAAAAATCTTAACCTTCATATTATAAAGTATGCTTAATATAAAAGTACTGATAATGGCCTAACAAGTCGAAAGTGCTAAGACTATTAATAAATAAATGACAGGATTACATTATTATAGTCCCAGCCTGTACACTAGTTTTATTTACTCATCCTAAATATCGATATTTTAATTTATAATTAAAAATGAACTTACCTTGATGGCCTTTCACCTTGCTGCATTGGTCTTACAGATGCCACTGGCCTGTGGCCTCTAGAAGATCCCATCAAACTGTAGGCGGGTTGTCTTGAAGCTTGTTTTTCTCTTTCATAACCCTTTTTAGCCAATCTAAAAATCAAACCAAGACTTATAAAATGTAAATTGTCACAATTAATATGTGATCTTTTTTTAGAGCGTTATTATATTTTTCGATTTGTGACTGACCTTTTCTCTTGCTGCGATAACTGTTTTTCCTTCCTATCGACTAACAGAGATTCATGCTGGAAAGGTTCCTTATTGAGACTTTTTCCATATTTTTCGAGGACTTTTTGTAATACCACATCAATGTAGTTGTCCCTGACATGCGCCCAGTCTTTTTCTTCTCCCTCATCCATTTTGTCGTCCCAACAAAGGGTGCTAACGTCTTTCAAGGTTAGATGGGCGTCTGGATTGCATTCGTCCACTACCCTGTCCGACATTCCTGGAAAAAACACAATTTGATGCTGGCGAATTAAAATAGATTCATATTTAGAATATCTTTAAATACTATTTTTAAAACTGACAGAATTCTGACTAAATTGTATCAGGTTCGTAACAAAGACAAGTAGTTAGCATTTGATAATAATAAAGAACGATTTAGAACAATTAATTATTGTAGAAATAAGCCTTCAAAATCCCCAGATAAGTGCAATAATTCTTTGTTCTTTGGGAATTTTATTATAATAGAATTATTAGATGTAGAAGTATTTACCTTGTTTATTAATTTGCCTATCATATATCTTCTTCTCCAAACAATTGTCAACCACCAACCTATATACAAAGCATGGCTTCCTCTGTCCATACCTATACACCCTACAAACTGCTTGTGTGTCATGGCAGGGATTCCAAGAGGCATCCAACACCACCACTCGATTCGCCCCTACAAGATTAATTCCGAGAGAGCCAGCTCGCGTCGAGACTAGGAACAAATGAATTTTGGGATTCGAGTTGAATTCGTTTATCAACTTTTCTCGTTCTAAGGCGCTCGTTGAACCATCTAAACCTGTAATTATCAAACATCGTATTTTAAATTGCAAAAAGAAAAATTGGTTTTGTTACTTACGATAATAGCTGCTGTTTTTCGCCCAATTGAAAGTTTCTCCTGGAACTAAGTTCATTTGAAGAAACTGCTCGATCAGATCTAAAGTTATTAACGACTGACTAAAAACTAACAGTCTATCACCTAAAGCTATACTTTCGCGTATTATACAAAATAGGATTCCCATTTTGGCCGAATTTTCAATGTGGCCTGGTATGTAATCCTTCAGCAATTCTATTGCCTAAAACAAAATAGAACATTTTATACATATTGTTGTTAAAATTTCGTTACATAGTATTAAGTTCTAATTTGTAAACACTTACCCAGTCATAAGGAATACCACTATCCTCTTTAGACCCTTGTAACGCTAGAGGATTCATCTTAGCAAACGGATTTTCTTGAATCGGTGGAAGTTTGATTTCTTCCTCAGTCTTAACCTCACTTTTGATCTCATTTTTAACCTCACTTTTAATCTCAGTCTTAAAAGGAGTCAACGGAGGCATAACGAGTCCTTCCTCTAATTTAGGTTCTATCTTAATATCACTGATAATGTTAATTTTTTTCTCGCTCGGCGTAGTAGGACTTGTAAACACAGGTGGAAGTTTTATGTCACTTATGATGTTTATTTTCGGTTTGACGTCATTACTGGTTTCGCTTTTCGAACTCACAAGGGATTTATTGTCCTCCTTTTTGATCCAAGAATTTGCATTTGTGTTGGACACGTGGGGGTTAAATTGGTTATGCGGTGGGCCGAAATAGTCACTTTGAGGATCATAGTTTGTAGCATCTTGAGTTTGATTCCAATTCCAGTTTTGATGGTAGTCATTTTGGTAGTTAGATTGATTGTTCTGAAAAATGATTATAAAATGACTCTTAGAAATTGTTTTATTCCTCAATTGTAGCAATATTCCAACATGGTATATTCTAAAAATAGTAATTGCGGGTGACCCTTGAACTACATATACACACTAATTTTTCAAACCAATTGTTTACTTCCAGTGTTTTTGAACTCTGTTATTCAGACCAGCGCACATAGGGGTATTTGAATTATCTACGCGGCCAAAAGTCCATTTTACAAAATGCAAAGTTTTTTATTAAAACGACTACCTGGGTTAGGGGATTAGTTAGAGCACATTATCCATCCCCTCCCATTTTCCTTCAGTGCACCCCGCTTTTTCACTGGCAGTTTGAATTTGACTGTTTTAGTTGGTATATATGTATGTGAAAGTGTTCGAGTGAAAACCTTAATTTAAACAGTGAATATTTATTATTTTACATTTTTTTTTCTAAAGAAAATGTTATGGAGCCTAGTATATCAGGTAATGACACACTATCTGTAATATTTTTTATTATAATTTTTATATTTTTTAAGATTGTCTTAGTGTATTGAAAGTTACAAGTAATTAGCATATTTTTGACCAATGATTTATGTTCAATAAAGAATTTTATTTTATTTATTTACGGAAAATCTCCTTTTACAAAATAATTTTATCAGTACATATTTTAAAGTATCACACAAAAAAGAGAAAAAACTTAAATATCACAAAAAACTGCTAAATCTAACTCGATAAGTACTCCCTCAGCTGATTTTTAAACCTAAAGCGACTAACTCCCAAAAGATCAGTGTGTCTGTTAATTTCATTTCCTTGCCTTTGAAATCTGGTTAAAGGACTGTTGAGTCCGTAGTTCGTATGATGGAAGCTAATTGAAAATAATGGTTTCTCTCTAATATTTATGTTGTTTAATCTAAAGTTTATTAGCTCCAACATATCCGGACAAGCTATATTCCCTTCCAGGAGGTTATAAAGAAATAAAAGATCATTACTAATTAACGTTTTCACAACTGACAATATGTTTAAATGGTTATTAAGCTCCCTCTTAGAAAGATAAGGCATATGTAACCTCCACTGACAAGTTCTTAGAAACCTATTTTGAACTGCTTCTAAATTTAAAATATGAGTCCGGTAATGAGGTGACCAGACTGGTGAAGCATATAAGAGGATGCTGCGCACTAGTGTTAAGTAAAGTGTTCGGAATGTAGGCACAGAGAATTCCCTAGGGTTCCTGGTCACAAATCCCAATGTTTTCAGAGCTCTACTAATGATGGATCTCATGTGTGGGACAAATGTCAAAGAACTATCGAAGATCACACCTAGATCCTTGATTTCACTAACTTTCTCCAAAACAGTAGTATTGAGCTGCCTTCTTGCGAGAAATCAAGTTTTTAAGTTCAGCTGAAAACCATCTAGGGTATACTGATGGTTTATATCTCCTAACAGGTACAAATAAAGCTAATGCCAATTATAAATACTGATAAAAAATTTCAACACTATCGTTAATATCATTATTGACTAAAATACCCTCCCAATTAATTGGAGCAAAATAATTATTTAAAGCTACATAATCCGCTTCTTTAAAGTCATAAAAAAACAATGTCACAAGACAAGGGACTAATATCACTGACAGTTAATTCACATGAAATTGCAACATGGTGGAAGTTATTAGGCAATAAGGTGTCTACAGCTGTCTCGATAGTAACCGAATTCCTAGCGTCATTGTTACAAAAACATAAGTCGAGGAATATACTGTGCTGATTTAGAATTCCATTGGCCTGACTCAAATTCAAGTAGGAAAACTCTCACTAATTATTACGGCTGGATATTCTGCAGGTCAAGAGACAGAGAGACCATCATCATACGAATAATTCCATGTAGCATGTGGAAGATTATAGTCCCCAAAAAGGTATAGCTTATTGTTAGGGTTGTTTTCCACTATATGCTCAACAGCAGAACAATGATCAATATAAGCATCATGATTAAACCCTGGTGGAATGTAGACAGCGCCAAAAATAATAGTTTCATTATTGATCGACAATGAAACAAATAAATGTTCAACATTAATAAACTGAGTAGTAAGATGCGATGATTTATATTTACTTTTAACTAAAATCAAGACACCACCACCGCTGGTTCTTGAGCTAGTATATATGTATGTTCCTGTCTACTCTGAAGACCCTGTAACCGCTAAAGCAGGGTTCATTATCCTTGAAATTATCAGTCAGCCACGACTCCACGAAAACAATAACATCATATTTACATTGGGCAATTGCGGTACGTAATTCAACAAGCCTAGTACGAATGCCACCAACATTCTGGTAATACACCGATAATGAAGAGCATTTTAGTTTTTTGAAGGAGCGTTTTTTTGCAATAATTGGCACACCCCTCACATATTTAATTGATAAGTCAAGTTCTCCATTATCTTTTATTTCCTTAAGTTCAGACATAACCTCTTTTAACTGATCTTTAACATTGTAGACCATCAAGTTGCTTGCTCGAGTAATGCGATTATGAATTTCGTAAGATACTGAGTCAGAGTTTAGCGAACTGGAGCCCTCAGTTTTTAAAGTATAAATTTTCTCCTCAATGCTGGTAACCTTGTCCTCCAAGGAATTAACTTTGCTCTCTAGAGCAGCTTCACAGAAAAAGATCATTAAGCGTTTTTGAACAACAATTGAACGCTGCTCACTAGCACACAATTCGGAGCACTTTTCATCCAAATGGAAAAAGACCCCACAGCTATCGCAACGGGGCGCCTTTCCATCATCGAGAATATTGAGAGAGCATTTCTCGCATTTTGGAATTTTTGGCATCTTAACCTCAATGTATTTACACTAGTGAAAACTTAAGCAGAATGATGGTTCCTCGCGAAAAAATCGCGAAAAAATCAGGTGGTGAAGTAAAACGATAATAAGAGCGTGGGTACGTTTTTCTCATTGCTCCCGAGAAGTGTTCAGATTTGGTGGTAAAAACCATCATACAAAATTAAATAAAGTATCAAATTATAGCTAAAATCATAGTGAATTCAAATATGTAATTCTTATAAAAGTGCCAATTACAGTAAAGCTGAAAATTGCATTTAACAAGGATTTTTTAAAAGTGTTCTGTTTTTTTTTTAACTTTAAATACAAAAACTGGATATTGTTATCTGTTCAATTAGTAAAGAAGCCAGCTGATAAATAAATAACTATTTACAAAATAATACAGTGGCGTACTAGAAATAAAATGACCTATTTTAAATGTCATAACAAACAAGAATTCAAAAACTTGGTTTGTATAAGTTGCTGTAACGTCCTGCATCCGAGTTGCCTTGATCGAGACTTCAAGGAAGCTGTTATGCAGAGTCAACATTTGAAGCGAAAATTACAAAGCAGTATAGGGAAATTGAGTCTCTTAACTCGAAACTTCAAAGTGCACAGTGTGCAATAAATGAATATGATAAAACCATAATGAAAAAAGATGAGATGATATTAAAACTGCAACTGGATGTCAAGGAGTTGGATTCTATAAACAGGACCATGGTAACAACAATAAGGATGTTGGAAACTGAAAATATTGATTATGAGAAAACCATTGGGATACTTAAAATTGAAAACGAAAATTTTATGGATGTAAGTAAAAATATAAATGAATGTAGAGTTTTAAATTTTGCATTGGAAGACAACCAAAGAAATATGACTGATCAACTTAATCAATTAAAAAATAAGAACGTTAAGCTGATGAAAGATATTGAAAACTTAGCAAAAGACAATATAATGTACCTAAACCAATTAAAAAGCTTACACATTGACATAAAGAATACGAGTTTTAAAAGTGACAACATTGAACCACAGAATGCCAAGAAACAGAAAAAGATTTTGATATTATCAGATGAAAATGGAAGAGGTTTGGACAGGGAATTAAGAAAGTGTTTTTATCGAGAAAGTGCGTCAATTGAAATAATTTTAAAACCAGGAGCAGAATTTAATAGAATACTAGAAGATATTAAAAATCTTACTAAAAACTTTAACTCAAATGATTATGTAGTTATTATGGCAGGAAAAAACGACATATTAAAAAACAGGTATCCTAGCATTAAGAATATTAGTTATAAATTAAAACAGTGCTTGCACACAAATTTAATTTTTCTATCAATACCTAAATTTAAAACTAATATTAAACAAATAATTAATTTCAATTCTAAATTATCAGGTTTTATAAGTTATATAGACTGGTATCAAAAAAACTCCTTCTCTTTTTTATATGTTAATGATAAGAATGGTTATAGATTGAATAATAAGAAATTAGCATTTTTGATTAAAAATAAAATATGTTCAGTAAAGTACAGAAATAATTTAGTATTTATTGAAACTGATAATCAAACTGCTTGCATAGATGGAAATACTCCTAAATCAAATAACAATGAAAAGATTATAATTTTAAGTGATATAACAGTCCCTACTAGTACAGAAAATATGGATTTTCCATCCAACAAAAAAATTATTCACATTACTTAAACAGAGGGAACAGTAAAACTAAACTATTATCTAAAAAAACAATAAATAAAAACTTTGCATGTTTCATTTTATCACTTAATGCTCAAAGTTTACTATGTCATTTTGATGAAATTTCAGCTATAGTTACGTCAAAAAAACCATTATTATTGTGCCTTTCTGAAACACATCTTACTGATGAAATATTCGATTCTGAAATTACTATAAATGGTTATAATAGTTATAGGGTTAATAGTGATAGTCGGCACACTGGTGGGGCTTTAATCTACATAAACAATCAATTAAAGGTTTTGAGTTTTAAAAAATTTTGTACACAAAAAAAATATTGGATAATACTATTGAAATTTTTATTTGAAAAAAGTAATTACTTAGTTGTTAGTTTATACAGATCTCCTAGTAGTTCTTGTAAGGATTTTTTAGACTTTTTTGAACATTTTGCAGATGACTTTTTATGTGATTGTGATTTTAATATAATTGTAACAGGTGATTTTAACATTGACTTGATGCATGACAATACTTACAGTAGCAGATTAAAAAATTGTATTTCTGACATTGGTTTGAAAAATATTGTTTCACAAGTTACCCATCCCTCCAATAGTAATAATGGTGGCTCACTTATAGATCTTGTAATAACTAATTCTGAAAATATTAGGGTAGAAATTGTTACATCGCCTAGAATAAGTACACATTTTAATATTTTAATATATCTAGACTGTTTGGCACTAACCAAGGAACCACAATTAATTGAAAGTAGAGGTAGAATTATCGATTATGATACTATTAATGAAAAATTATCTAAAGTTGAATGGAATTATAGATTACGGATTAATGCCAAATATAAGGATTTTTATGAAAAAGTAATGAGGGTTTTAAATGAGGTGGCACCAAAGAGAACTATTAAGATTTTTCCAAAATTTAGAGTTTGGTGGAATGACACAGTGCACACAGCAACTATAGATAGGGATAAGGCTTACAAAAATTATGTATTAAACAAAACAGAACAAAATAAAGAATTATATAAACAGAAACGTAATATGGCTGTTAAAACTATTAGAAATGAAAAGAGAAAATATTATGACTCTCAAATTATGGAAAATAAAAATAATTCTGTTAAATTATGGAATGTAATGAAGGAACTGTTACCCAAAAACTATAAACAAAATGATCTTGTAGAAATTGAAATAAATGAAAATTTAATTATAAAAGACATAATTGAAATGCCAGATGCACTTAACACATATTACATTGATAGTATAATTGACTTAGTATCTAATATAAATCAGAACGTTAATGATTTTCCCATTATTGTTAAAAATGATAATGTAAGTCTTAAAAAGTTTAATCTTGTTAGTTTTGATACTTTAAAAGAAATTGTTTTTGATATGTCGAATAAAGGAAGTCCTGATGAAATTAATGTACTGTTTTTAAAATACTGTTTCGAAAATATTGCTAAGCCATTGATAAATATAATAAATTCCTCGTTAGAGACTAATACTGTTCCAGACGATCTAAAAATTTCAATAATAACACCAATAGCTAAGGTTGAGAATTCAAATAGGGCAGTGGACTTACGTCCTATTAATATGTTATGTACAGTAGAAAAAATTTTAGAGAAAGTAGTATATAATCAACTTATTGAATATTTGGAAGAAAATAATATGTTTAATAGTAATCAATCAGGATTTCGGGGTAAACACAGCTGCGAGACTGCACTACAATATGTATTAAATGACTGGAAACAGAATCTTGACAACAAGTTAATTACAGGTGCTCTTTTTTTAGACCTACAAAGAGCATTTGAAACGGTAAATCGATCTCTACTGATTAAAAAGTTAAAAAGTTTTGGTATTATTGAAAATTCACTAGAATGGCTTATAAATTACCTGGACAATAGAAAACAAAAATTAAGGTTTAAAAACATTTTATCAAAAGAACAAAAAAATGAATTAGGCGTACCACAGGGGAGTGTATTGGGCCCACTATTGTTCCTTCTATATATTGATGATATTTCTCAAGTTGCAGGTGGTTGCTCCATACATATGTTTGCAGATGATACTCTGCTGTATTATTCTGCTAATAATTTGCAGGAAGTAACCGCTACTATAAATACCACATTAAAGCAAATATATTATTGGTGTTGTTTTAATTCGTTAAAAGTAAATATTAACAAAACTAAATTTATGATTATCGGGAATGTTAGGTATTACAATGAATTTACTGAAAATAATATGAAAATTAGTATTGAAAATGATGTCATTGAAGTCGTAAAAAAAATTAAATATCTGGGAGTAATAGTAGACCATATGTTGTTTTTTAAAGATCATGCAAACTATATCATTAAAACAGTAGCGTTTAAAGTCAACTACTTATACCGGTGCTCAAAATACATTAATAAATGGTCATTGATTCTTTTATATAACAGTATAGTTTTGCCTCATTTCACTTATTGTGCCACCATTATGTATTTACTTAATCAGAATGAAACCAACAGACTTCAGAAATTACAAAATAGAGCAATGAGGATATTATTGTCATGTGATAGAAGGACCAATATATTAGGTATGTTACAAAATTTGAAATGGCTTTCTGTTAAAAACTATTTTCTGTACTTAACTTTAATATTCATTTATAAAATTAAACATGGACTGGTCCCCTCTTATTTACTTGATAAAATCAATTACAACTTTGACTATCATAACTATAACACAAGAAATAGATCTAATTTTCATATTCCACAAGTTGCACGTAAACAGTCCCAAAATTCAATATTTTTTATGGGACTTCAAGCTTTTAATGAGATACCCTTAGAACTCCGAAATGTCGCCTCATTTAATACCTTTAAATATAAACTAAGAGATTATATGTTAACGAGCCAGCATCTGTGATATTTTAGTGTTATATTTTAGATATAGATAAATATTTTTTGTAATTTTATTTATTTGTAATGTACTATTAGCTTTGCTAAATAAACGAGATATATATAATAAATCCTGCATTGTTGCCTATTGGGCAGCTGTCCGACGAAGACACGGAAGCACGTAACAAGCATTTCTGCTCATACCACCAAGACTTCGCGCGAAAATTTTAACAGGGATATTTTTAATCACCTGCTTCTAAGTTCAGACCCCCTCTTAAGTAGCATGCGGAACGTTAAAAAAAGAAAAAATTAAGTCTTTTTGCCAGAAACAATTAATTTACTAATGTCTGCAAAGCCGCTCGAAGCTGGTAATTCTTCAGAAAGCGAAGATTAAAATTTATGGGAATAATGTTAGATAAAATTGTATATCAATATTTTTTATTAATAAATATAGGTTAATTAAACATTAAAACTTTTGTTTTCCTTATTAATATCGTATAGAATCGATATTGACCAAAAAATAATTGGCCGCGTAAATCGTTCAAATACTCCTATGTTCATCTCTGTGAGTTACAATAATAGTCTAATACAAATAAAAATCAAACATGGTATAAAAGGTGTGTTACAAATAAGTAGTATAGATTGGATTATTTTTTGTAATAAAGGTAATGACGTAATTTTTTTGTCTCAACTTATGTTATTTAAAAATACCATAACTCGAGTATGAAATATGTCCCTTTGAGACAATGTAAGAAAAATTTTAGAAATTCACTAGTAATATGGTTTAACAACGGTCTAAAATCTCACCGCGATTTCTCTAGCAATTGTTTCGGCAATTTAAACCGACACAATTTTCACAATAAACCTTCAGTTTATTCATCATTTTCATCCAAATAAATATAAGTATATAAAAAAATATTAATAAATTAAATAGACCTCTAATAATATTAATATAAACAAATCTGCTTATTCCCTACTAATGTAATTTTTCTTCTTTTTAATACATTTATAGAAATAAAGTTAAAATCCCCAGTGAAAATATAGTATGTTAATCGAAACTTATAGGAACCTATTAATCCAGTAGATATAAAAAATTAACAAGTTAAAGGTAAATGATTTATATTTCCTCTATAATGAAGACGATTATTTAAAGAATTATTAAAATTTTAACAATAAAAATTACTTACTTCCATATTGAATTGTCCTTGTTGATTCTGCCCGTATCCAGAATTATTCTGATTAGCGTTATTTCCTATTTCCATTAATTCACCAGTATTATTCTGTAAACTGTTATTTCCACTTTCAAGTGCTATGGCTGTAGAATTTTTCAGTGGTGTCAAACTGGTACTGGCGTGATTCAAAGGAGTCAACGACGTGCTAGCGGTATTCAAAGACGTTAAAGTACTGCTTGTATTGCCTATAGTCAGGTCTTTAGTTTTCGATGTCAAAGGCGTCAGAGATATTTCCGAAGAAAGCGACGTCAGAGGTGTCAAAGACGACGTTTGGGCGTCCAAATTTAGGAAATTGGTTTTCTGCGTTTCTCCCGACAAATTAAATTCCGTATTATATTCGCTCGAGCCAGACGCGTTCGGATACGAATAGCTGTTGTTGGTGTTTGGAAAAGAAGATGGAAATTGCGCATTTTGATCAAACTCCTGATCGTAGTATGGTTGTAAAATAGTATCAGGGAAATTGTTTGATATGTCTTGGATATTAGTTGCCGAATCCTGATTAGATTCGACTTTAATTTTTCCCTGTTGCGACAAAGCGTTACTAAACGAAGTAATTGGTGAGGAAGTGGCGAAATTGTTCAAAGAAGCGGTACTAGTAGAAGGTGGAGGTTGCGGATTCGCAGCATTTTCCAATGTATTATTATAAGGAGTGACAGACGCTGCGGGTTTTCCATTTTTCCCTTTAGCAGGTGCTTTCCTCTTTGATTTCGGAGGTGGTTTTTCCGGTTTTTCATTGGGAGCTTTACTAACAGGAGGGCCGCCTACTTCTTCTAAATCGATGTCGACAGCTTCACCGGCACCAGCGCGTTTCTTTAAAAAATTGTACAAAACGTCAGGGTGATTCCATATTTTGCAACAAACCGCAAAGGCTTTAAGTGGATTTGGTACCGCTTGAACTCGCACGACTTCGTTCATAAACGTCTCGTATAAAGTTCTTTGAAACGGAGACATTCTGCATAGTAATACGTATTCTTCTTTTTGCGGCAAAGCAGTTTGTAACACAGCATGTGACCTTCTCTGTACGAAACCCAATAATAAAGAATGCAACACGTGCGCTCTGTATCTCATAAGTTTGATATCAGCTTCCGTAGAGTCTATACATTGACCGTTCATAATCGGACGTTCAAACATGTTGCAAAATTCCGTCTTGGAACCTAAATAATTCGGTCTCACGAAGTCTACCATGCACCAATATTCCATTAAATTATTCTGAAGCGGGTAACCTGTTAGTACCACTCTTCGTTTGGTCTCCATTTGCTTTAAAGCTTGCGAAATTGAAGCATGTGAGTTCTTGATACGATGACCTTCGTCGCATATCACGAGATCCGGACCGGGCTTTATTAGAGCCGTTTGAACCTCTGAAAAATAAACGTTAATTAAAAAACAGCCCAAAAAAAATCTGTTGTAAATTATTTATTTATAAGAATATGAATAAATTGAGATAAAGAATTTTCTTCAGGGCTGAAATACACAATTGGTTAATAAATGCATGTGTCCATAACTTGTACAATCTCCTAATACCAGCAAAGTGATTATGAATTGTACAATGAACGGGGACCAAAATTCTTAGAGGTTCAAGGAGGTCACAACATTGGGAATTCTGATTGCGTTATTTTTTTTTTTTTTTTTTTTTTTTGAGTCTTTGGGTGTGTATTTTAAAAAGTTTACAATTTGATATATGGCAACATTGAACAGTAATTGTCAAACATGCAAAAGTCTGCACTTTATATCAATAAGAAGAACAGGGTCATTTCTAGGAATATGATTGGTTTGCCAGACTTGTAGTGATTATTATATGTGCAGAAAATGTAAATGTTAAAAAAACATGTCTGAAAAATAGACTTGTCCCAATAAGTATTGTGTGCATAAGCCAAATTAAATAATTTGACTGAATTGGTTACAAATGCAAAATATTGTTTAAAAAAAGAAGAACAAATTACTACTGACTTGTATAGGTTCCAATGGTATTTTCGAATTTTCGTTTCGAATCTTATAAAAACAAAATCGTGAAAAAATGACTAAAAAATCCAGTTTGAAAGTATTTTACATATTAATGATTTGTCTAAAAAACGAAAATACAAATGTTCTTAAAATGTTTTTGAAAATGCATACAGGATTGAGAAATATTTAACCATGTCTACTATGCTCTGGGGATATCAATCACCAGTTTTAAAATCAACAGGGCATATAAACTAGTCGACAACATTGGAAAATGAAAAAAATAAACTCAATATTTACTACATAAAAGTTGTTGTACAACAGATAAACACAACTTTTTTTCTGAAAGAACAAAATATAGAGACATCTCTGACTGGCTTGCTTAAGACGGCCCTGATTACCTTATACCTTTGTATAAGCTGGTGAAGATTATGTAATTCATTTACGAATAAAAATGGATGATAAGCATGAATTGATCCACTCCCATCTATCTTCAAATCTCAGCGACAGGATGACGAAACGGTACGATACCCAAGCCACAAAAGGATGTTTCAAGGAAGGTGACAAAGTCTGGCTCCATAACCCAAAAAGACAGAAAGGTTATTCTCCGAAGCTTTAAAGATCTTGGGAAGGTCCGTATCTCATCAAGAAAAGAATCAATGATGTTATCTACTGTATAAGTAAGATCCCGAACGGTAAAACGAAGGTAGTGCACCAAAACTGGCTGGCGTCATTTGAGGGTGACCATGACGAGGAAGAAGAAGTAAACTAGCTCCAAGAAACACCTGACCTTGTCTTTGAAGAATTTATAGGTGTATATGGAGGTACCAGAAAAGCAAGACATGTTGCTACGACTGAGCAACAACAAGATCTGCTCTCTCTTCCAAGACTACTTGCTGGTCCATAGTACTTCCGCCAGCATCAACGACGCGCGAGGACTGGCATATGTGTTCTGTAAGAAGTTTGGTCGACTGCCAGAACTTTAAATTTGTATATAAATATTATTCCAGATATAATCAGATGTTTCTATTTTGGCGGAGGAGCATTCTGAAATCCACCAGAACTTTAAATTTGTATATAAATATTGGTGGAGGAACGACGTAGCATTCATTAGTATACAAACTACTGTGAAGATAAATAGTAAACAATTTAGAGACTTCGAAATATATATAAAACTAGCTGACCCGATCCCGCTTCGGTGGAATTTCTCAAATCTCAATTATTAAAAGTGAATAACAGTTTTTGTTACTCGTGAGAAATTTTTTCATGCGATACTTGAAAAAAAAATATTAATTTAATTTTTATTCGTTTTTAATAGTTTTATTAATTTTTGTTAATTTTTAATAATTTTTATTAATTTTTAATAATTTTTATTAATTTCTATTAATTTTTATTAATTTTTATTAATTTTTATTAATTTAATTTTTATTAATTTTTATTAATTTGTATTAATTTTATTTATTTTTTATTTGTTTATTTTTATTTATTTATTCCTCCCCTCCTTAAAATGTGAAAATCCAAAAACCTTTAAATACGTCATTATATGAGTAGCTACAATTCCAACTTTCATGTTCCCACCTTTAAAAAATCGATACTTTCATCCCTCTTCCCCCTTCTCTCTATTTTTTCACTTTCCCACTTTTCCCCTTTCCCTATTTCCCACTTTCTCCAAACTTTCGCATTTATGTAGTAGTAGGGTTTTTATGATACTTCCCATGTCCCCCTCTTTAAAATTCGAAAATCTAAAAACCTTGAAATACGTCATTATTTACGAGCCCAGACGCATATGAATTGGACCAAAACAAATAATAAACACAGTTTTATTTTTCTGAATTAGAATTTATTTTACTATTATAAATTCAACGGATACGATTAAGCTTATTTGATACTATGTGGTTTTGACAATTAATCAATAATATATAAGACTTTTATCGACTACAATAATTATAAAATAAAAAAAAAAGGAAAATTAATGTCTGGCGCAAATTAATTGGACCAAATATTTAGTCAGCATTACCACTGTGTGACGTCACCCTTACGTTTTATAATGGCTTCAATTCTCTGTGGCATAGTGCCTACTAATGTTTGACAGTAATCTGGTTGAAAGTTATTCCAAATTTCCTGAACTTTAACCTTTAATTCAGGAATTGTGCGAACTGGCGTAGTTCGAAGTGCTTTTTTCATCTGATGCCAAAGAGTCTCAATAGGAGATGGGTCAGGACTGCTTGAAGGCCAGTTTAAAACAGGAATATTCATTTCTTGAAACCATGCTGTTATGGATTTCGCTGTATGACAGGTTGCGCCATCTTGTTGAAATATAAATTCTCCATCTGGCAGTTGAATTTTTTCATTAATGGAAGGCAACAATTCTTCTTGTAAAATAATTTTGTACTTTATAGCATTGACAGTGCCATCAATGAAAATGAGATGTCCAACTCCTTGTGAGGACATACAGCCCCAGACCAACACAGATGCCGGGAACTTAACCTTTCTTTTGAGGCAATCTTTGTGATATTCTTCTCCTGGCATTCGGATAACTCTGCTTCGTGTATCGCCAACACAGACCTCAAACTTAGCTTCATCACTCCAGATAACTGAATCCCATTGACGTTGAACCCAGTTTCGGTGCTCTTTTGTCCATAACAATCGGTTTCTTTTTGAGAAGTGGTTTTTCCTTTGCCTAAAGTGAGATGATAAATTTGAATATTTAAGATGAGATAAGTGTTTCTTGTAAAAACTTACCTTGTAGAATCCATATCCCATTTTTTTCATTCTCCTCAAACAAGTGTCTTTTGAAATTGGTCTACCAATTGCATGGGCCCATTTTACAGCCAATTCTCGAGAAGAAGCTCGGCGATCTTGTTTAATAAGTGTCCGAAGAGCACGATCATCTCTTTCGGTAATCTTTGAAACACGGCCAGTTTTAACTTTTGTTTCAACATTTCCGGTTTTTTTAAAATTTGAAATTATATTTCTTACAGTTCCTTGAGGAATACTTAAATTTTGAGCAATTTTATTTCCAGAAAGTCCTTTCTTATGGGCTGCAACAATAGAATTTATTAAATCGTCAGATAAACACTTTCCGCGAACCATTTTGACAAGTAACTAAATTGAATCACTCAACAAACGTCATAAATTATTTCTTCAACGCCCACTTGATAATATAATTTCCAGAAAAAATTATACAAGAGATTTTATTGGATAAATAAATATTTATCATTACGATTGGGTGATGGTCCAATTAATTTGCGCCAGACATTACTTTTCTTTTTTGTTTATTTTATAATTATTGTAGTCGATAAAAATATTATATATTGTTGATTAATTATCAAAACCACATGGTATCAAATAAGCTTAATCGTATCCGTTGAATTTATAATAGTAAAATAAATTCTAATTCAGAAAAATAAAATTATATTTATTATTTGTTTTGGTCCAATTCATGTGCGTCTGGGCTCGTACATTTATGAGTAGCTGCAATTCCAATTTTCAAGTTCCTATATTTAAAAAGGCGAAAGTCTTCACCTTACACCGTCATCTATTAGGAATTCATAGAACTAACCAATAAATACACAATATTTAGGCATTCCATATGCTCCGCGACTATTATTTCAAATAAAATAGCGTCCAAGATGGAAGGCTATGTCGCAACCTCTTTAAATTTACTAACCCTTCCCGCTGTCAGATATTGTTTGACAGGTCGTTGGAATGCCTAATTGTCCTATAATAAACATTTAATTTGCAATTACAAATATTGAGGTCAATAATTGAGATAAAAATAAACTGTTGTTTTAAAATAAACAATCACAATATGTATGTTGTGACAGTTTATTTTTATGAGAAATGAAAGTAATAGCGTTTTTCACTGGCACTGACAGTATGCACTGAGTATATTTGTGTCCTTGTTTATCAATATGGAAAAGAAGAAAGTCGGAATACACTTAGAACGCACTGAGCATTCCAGTGGAAAACGCCATTAGTATTCTATTAATTGTTTTTAAAAATATATAGCTCATCTGTAAGAAAAAATAAATTTATGTCGAAGCCGACATTTTTAATAGACATCCGAGAATAGAGCCCCAGGTGCTCTAAATTCTGCTCTGAATGCAGTGTCGGCTTGTATATAGAATTATTTAAATATTTTCACTATAAATAATAATAATGATAAAAAAAAAACAAATGAAAAGAGAAAATCTCAGTCTGTGTCACAGAAACGTCAAGCAACCATTTCCTTACTGAGAGATAGAAAGATAAATTTATTGATCTTTGTCATTTACATGACAAGACAAATCACATAGTTTACTCATAAGGTACCATAAGTTGATAAATAATAAGCTACAATTATCTGAATAAAAACATTAATGCTTAACAAACATTTAGTACAGAATAAAATTACAAAATAAAAAATAAAATTACGAGACCGATAAAGATTATTAAAATTAGAGAATAAAAACAACTTTAAACTAGTCCTGAATTGGTTAAAATGTTTTATTTCTTTGATGGAATCTGGTAACAAATTAAAAACTGTCTTCCAGTATACAGTGTTATTGTTATAATTATGGATTTCACTATTTTTTTAAAACTTATTCTTATTAAGAAAAGTGTAGGTTAATAGTTTAAAAAGACAGATCCATGTGTAAGTCTCAGAGTGTGCAAGTCATGATGTTATTATTTTTAAATGTATATCTACAAGATTTGTTGTAAAAATAAACAATTTCAACTCAAGTCTCCAATTTAGTCTGCTGGATGTGTTACCCTCATTTGCATACATTTATTAAAAAAATATATATTATTTAATTCAACAAAATCATATCTATTAAATTAGAACATGAAACTAATTTTCTTATCGTGAATAGTAATAAACTACTAAAAAAAGACTTACCATCAAACAATTTCATATTCCTCTCATCATCCAATTCCGGATTGATTTTCCTTCGTGACTTCGGCATTTTCCTCTGGCTCAGAAGTCTAAATTGCTCATAACCAATTAGCAAAACCCCACCGTTAGTTCTCCATTCGTGGATAACTTTAGCTCTCGCCACGAGAGTTTTATGACTGTCATTTAAGACATGAAGGTTGAAATTCCTCCCTCTGACCTCTCCATGAGCAAATAATGGGCTATAATGGAACATACATTAAATATTTATATAAGTATTGCAACTTAAAATTAGAAACTTTTATCAAAGTTTTGGCCAAATGTCTACTTTTAGTTTTCCATTAATCTCATGTTTGTAACTTTGCAGTTCAAGAAGCTGCCAGTAAATAGAATATTATCAAAAATTAAATATAAGCCTTTGGAAAAATATACAGAGTGGTCTAGTTATCCAACTATGAACCAATTTTGCTTTCTTTTTGATGAAGGGTTCAGGTATGAAAAAAACTTAGGAGACAAAAAAGTTTTATTTTACTTTATAAAAAAGAATTATTGGGACATTTTTTGTAAAGAACCCTAATCGAAGTGAGCACGCCTCTGGAATTACTGGATTAACTGTCTGAAAGACAACTCATAAAGTTGTCAATAACCTGATTAAAATCGGCCAAAGCCTTCTTTAGATATTAAAAATAAAAAAAAAATTGACACCCTGTGCGTCAAAAAGGGAATGAAATTGGACCATGTTTTATCAAAAAAAAAACACCTCTATTTTTCGATAAACTATTGACTGGTAAAATACTGACAATATAAACTGGACCACCCTACATATCAAGATATCTAAGCATGGTTTCTTTTATGTTCTAAATCACTACTAATAAATAAAAGCGTAAATTACCAATTAGATGCATTTTCTTCTGTAGGTACCCACATATTGAATTCTGCCATCCAATTTTGGAGGGTGTTGATGGGCATTATACAAAGAATCGTCTTAGCTGATGTATGCCTCAAAAATATGTCAGAAAACGTGACGATTTGTAAAGTTTTCCCCAAACCCATTGAATGAGCGAGAATACAACCAAAACCGGATGAGCTTTCAAAGCGACTGGTACTTTCAACAACATTGTCATACAAAAATCTGTAATGGAAATAAATACGAAATTATTATGATAAAAAAACAGTTTATAATCAATTCAGTCCTACCTAACTCCACCTATCTGATGAGGTTTGATAATTCTGGATATTTGTGGAGCTACAAACACGTCAGGTTCCCCTTCTGGATGTCCCACATTGACCAACACCCTTCCTTGTTCATCAGGTTGATTAAACTGATCGTTTGTGTGCATTCCAGAATTCGTTGGATCATCATGATCTGTCTCTTCTTCTTCGTCTTCCGGTTCAGAAACAACAATACAATCATCATCTGAAGATATATCTATTGTCTGAACTGGAGTTTTCGCTAAAGATAGAAATTTGATAAAATTTACCATAGAATATAAATAAAAAGCAAAATTCTTACATTTTGGCTTCATAGATAATGGCGGTGACATTATTTTCCGCTCATCACTCTCGCTGTCACTATCATCATGTCTCTGAAGCAAAGGAGGCATCATTTTCTTGTTTACAGGTGCGATACTAACAGATGGGGTAAGGTCAGCTCCAGTGGGAATCCTCTTTGCAGTTAAAAGGCTTCTGTTACTCCTTGGAGCACCCATTGGCCCATGCGCCATGTTTTTAGGTACCCTAAGTAGTTCAAAAGGTCTCTTGGGTATCCTCGTCATTGGTTTGGTTTGACCATTAGGTAGTTTAACCAATACAGTGTTGCCTATTCTGGTTTGATTTGATGTACCTGAAGGTTTTGAAAGTGTTACACAGTTGTGTAAATGTAGTATTGAATTTTTAGACAAAATAGATATTTTTAAATGTGTAGGTTATACATACATAAATTTTGTATCTTGGTAATAAATAATAGATGGGTTTGATCAGGAGGGAAGAAGATGAAAAGAGATAGAAGTTAAAGTGACTGAAAATATAAATTACTGTGTAAAAGAGATATTTATCAGTCAAATGTCTTATTAAGATACAGATTTTATTCCACATTGAATTTTGTAATTCATTCAATATAATTTTACTTATTATTATAAAATAATTTCTTAATAATATAAGGAGTTATTAATTGTGAGATCCTTTATGATTAGAAAATGTTAAAATTGACAGCAAACTTTAGTCATGATATCCATGATGGTGATAAAAAAAATCAAAAGTTGTAAGAATAAATAAATGATAAATTTTGTAAGGTAATCTGTTACTTGAAAACCTTTTTTGTCAATTTTACTAAGTTTTCCCTGTATCCCAATTTACCCTCAAATAGATAAATACTATTTATTTCTAAAAGAAAGCCTTACCTGGTTTAGAAAACTGATTGCCCTGTAACATAGATATAACTCTATTTTGCATTCTTTCTTGAGCTGCCTGCCTTTGTAGTTCCCTTAAAAGTCTCTGCTGTTCTTGTACCCTTCTCAAACGTTCTGCTTCCTGTCTTTGAGCAGCCAAAGTAGATTCATCTAGTTTAGTTTCGTCCATTACTTCTCGAATGTTCCTTCTTAGGGCTATGCCTTTTGGTAATCCAGGAATTTCTTCTCCATCAAGTCCTAGAATTAGAAAAAAAAAAAATAACTAATTACAAGTTTATTTTTTCTTGTATGTAATATTCTCTGGTGGATTATGTTTTGACTTCAAAATTCTGGCATTGATTTATGTACTTTATTTTTAAATGGGAGAACTAAGTTATAGTCGTACCTATTAAAAAAAAATCAAGAGACTAGATTTAAAACAAAACAAAAAGTTGAAAGGATCAAGATGGTTTTACTTCAATTCCAAAAGGATAATTTAAAATTTTTCATTTTGACTTCTTATATTTTAATAGTTTTGTGAAAATAGAAATAACTGGAAATGACTCAAAAACAAAAACCAAACGAATTAAAATTTTTATTTCAATATAAACTTAAGTGTATACATTTATCAATGTGTCAAAGGATAGAAAAAAGTTGCACTAGATGACAAAATACCTACATTACAAATACTACTGAAAACCATTATGCCAAATCATGTTAAATTTAAAAAGGTTCCTTTGTTTATGGATTGTAGAAATTGCTTTAAAATTGAGTAGCATTGGGGTCTATTCTGTAACAATTCTTTTATATTTAAAGGCCTTTAAAAATATTTTCTTCTTTACTTCTGTCATTATTTAAACGGATCTTTAAAATACATTAGAGGACTATCTTAAAGAAATCTGTTTAAATAATGACATAAGTAAATTAACGAATACAAACATATTTTTAAAGGTCACTAAATATTGTATGCTTAAAAAACTTATTTAGAGGTTTTTGCTATGTAATGATTTATTGTTTTTGAATGTTACTAATGCATTAAATCATTAGTACTAAAAATTATATCTGGAATTTTGTGCTAAATATTGGTTTTTGATATTTTGATAGAATGTTTTTCTGCAAAAACGCGCATTTTTAAAGACCTAAAAAATGTCTTTAGAGGCTTGCTATTTGATGATTTTTTTTATTGAATCTTTAGTATAAAAAAGGTATTTGGAATCTCGTGTTGTTTTTGTTGGTTTTATTGAGTAATATTTATCCGTGGAAACGCTTGACTTTAAAAACCTAAAAACTATATTTAGATGTCTTGCTATTTAATATCTTATTTTTTTAAATTATAATAATGTTTTGAATCATTCATTCATTTGATGATTTAAGATTTAATTAACTGATTTTTTTGCCGATAAGTGTATCTTATGACACCAAAAAGTTTGTCAAATTTAGTAAAATTATACTAATAAAAAATTTATAGCCATTAACAATTTTTAAATATTCAAATTTAACGCCCTGTATTTTCGAAAATGACTAACATTTTACCTGAGCATTAGGGTGAGCCAAAATGACTAACCTATCGAATTTATGGTCTCAAAAGGGTCTATATCTAGAAAAAAAAAAATTCTCCCATTTATATTATATTTATAAAAATATAAAATTGAAATTTACAAACATTTACAACATAGTTCACTGAATCACTCAGAGGCCACAGTGACAGCCTCCTTCCTACATCTGTATTGATTTAAATTTATCTATAGGCTGATTTCTAAAATTAAGTGGTAGTATATTGTATAGCTCAATATAATATTTCTTTGTCCTTTTCAGTCTATACTGGATAGGGACTAAGTTATCTTTGTGCCTTGTATTATAGTTATGGATATCTGAGTGGGAAAAATGTGTTGATATTATTTCTTATGAATAGAAGGTTTTGATAGATTATTACTGCATAGAGTGTCATAATTTTAAGTTCTGGGAATACTGGTCTACAACTGGCTTGCCAAGAAGCACATGTTATGGCTCTTATGGCTGATTTTTGCAAAATAAACTCTTGAGATATGTGTGTCAGCAGCATTGCCCCAACATATTGTCCCGTATGTCAAATGACTATGAAATAGAGCATAGTAAGCAGTAATTGCTGCATCTTGACTACATATTTGGCGTATTTTCCTGATAGCAAAAACTGCTCGTGATAATTTGGAAGAAAGTGCTTCAATATGATCTGTCCATCTGAGATGTGGATCAATTTGAATGCCAAGTGTTTTAACATAATTGTTATTAACTTGTTTACTATTTACTGTAAATAATTGGGAGATAGTTTTGGTGTCATTTAAAAACAGGTCGTTTACAGAAAACCACCTCTTTGCCTGAATCATGACATCAGAGTAAACTTGATCATGATCTGTTCCTCTTTTAGTATTAATACAAAAGGAAGTGTCATCAGCAAATATATGTGATAAGGTTTTGAAAATGCATATGGTCAGGATATATCAAAAAGAGTAATGGACCTAAAATTGAGCCCTGAGGGACACCTCTCCTGACATGCATCAATGAACTTTTGCAATTTTCGATGATGGCTGTTTGACATCTGTCAGTTAAATAAGATTCAAACACACGATTATAAAAGCACGTGGTTAATTAAACCAAATAATATAGCCATGATTAAGCATTATTGAATACTTGACTACAATTATAGTATCTATAATTCAGGGGTTTACTAAACATGTCTGTTTTCATCAACTTTCATCGCCCATAAGTATATGAATTTTGGAGGCAAAAAAATCAACTCAGGAGTATTTTTTTAGAGAATTTCATGCCCTACAAGAATATGCCTAGGATAAAGTTTCTATCTCAAATGGTTCCAAAATTACCTATAGCATTGTTAATGGACAAATATTTTTTTGCCTGTTATTTAAATGGGAAATTTCAAATGGCCACTGACACCTTTTAAAATTGAGCTAAAAATTTTTCCAAATGGGAGAATTTTTTTTCAACATATAGACCCCTTGAGACCATAAATTTGATAGGTTAGTCATTTTGGCTCACCCTAAGCATGTTTATTTCATTTAGTCATATTATTTTTAATGAAAGACTTTTCAATTATTCTATGTTTCATTCTTATATCCTGCAAATGTTGAAAATGTATACTTAAGGAGCGTTCATACAAAATCAGACAAGTCCATTTTTTTTACAAAATGTGTTTGATACAAATTCTGGATATTTTTTCTGGTTTCCATCGATCCCTGACATCAGAATCATTCAAAAGCAAAAATAACCCATTTAAATCTTCATGTGAACATTAATAGTTTGGTCAAAAACAGACATGTTCCAGATTTAAAATAAGTTTGAGTGAATTGGTTAAAACAAGGCAGCAAACCATACTTTTACAGCTGAATTTATTTATGTGTATTGTTTTTTATACTTAACACCACTAAAAAAAGTCATACATACGTCCATTTATTTTTTAATTTTTTCTCTATAATTTTTTATATTAATATCATCTAATTCTCTATACCATCTCATAATATGGTTAATTTTAAGGCCCTACGACTAAACAGTCTTTGTGTTTTTTCTTCTTCTAAACTACTTCAAATGAACGTGTTTACACCTTATTTTATGCAATTTATATTTTTATTTCAGATTAGGTACTTTTAATATTTAATTGGCTATTTTAGAATGTTCATTCAGTGATACTGTATGAAATAACTAATTTATCACATATGCACAAATTTGCTAAGAGGTTTACAATGCTGTTAAGAATTGGCTTCCACCAGAGTTTCCACATAGCATTACCTGGGTTGGCAGGCATAGGTTTTTTTGCACATAGATTTTTTTCAAAAACCTAAGAGTCAAAAATCAAGAATTTTAGGTTTTTTAAGATAAATATTAAGAATTCACAATTTTACTAATCAACTCTCAGAAAAAAGGGTGCAAAAATGAGTATATAAAAACATGCAAACATTTCATCACAGGTTATAATTACTTCTTCTTGATATTGATATTAATGATAGTGACAATAATTTTTGACATATTATGAACTAAAAACCTTATAAAACCTAAATAACCTACTTATATTTTTGAATTCTTAGGTTTTTTCCATCCCTGAGCATTACCTCAATTCAAAAAGAAAATAACTTGAAATTTGTCAGAAATGAGAAATTTCTACAAAATTATTAAGAATATCGCGTAATGCCAAGTTCGAAAGAGAAACAACATATAAATGTCTTGAAATGATAAAAACATCAATATTTGATCCTAGAACTCACTAAGTACATCTCCAATTATAACAGAAATAAACTATAACGTTTCAAAAATCCTTTATTTTATATTTATTTTTTGAACTGAGATAGTGATATACGAGTATAGGTAGGTACATCCTAATTCATAATAAATTTTAATGCAAAATTTTCACTTACCCATTTTCTTAGTAGTGACCACAACTTCATTTTCAACTACTTCAGTCTTTTTGGGTTTCTCCCCCTTTTTAACTGTCTCAAAGCTAATTTCACCCATTTCCTTCAATTTCTCCTTAATATCAATATCATAATCTTCCTCACTTAATGCTTCAGAGTTCTGTTTTGTAGGAGTAGGAGCAGTGGAACTACTAGAAGTACTAGGAACTGACAAAATGGGAACTGGTGCAGAATTCTGCTGAACCAGCTTTTCAAAAAATGAAGTACTACTACTTGCCTCGTCTTCAGAGTTACTAGCTAGTTGACTTGGAATCTGTGAATGTTCTTTAACAGGAGAAGGTTTTGGGATTATATTTATCTGGGAAGTGGAACCTGGATCCATATCAGGTGGTTCTTCTTCAGAATCTTCTAACTCTGATTCAGAATCATAGTCCGACATTTCAGTTTCACTAAAATTAGTCATTAAATCATCACACTTTTTTCCTAAAGATACGTCATTAGAGTTGAATTTGAATTTTTTTACGGATATATCATTAGGTAGGTTGAGATTAGGCCTTTTGTTTAGACCAGGAATGGTCAAGGACGTTTCATCTCCACTCTCCTCTTCAGGGCTACTATGAATTTCATCTTTATTCTCTTTGGGTTTCTCCACAGGGATATTTTGAGGTCCCACCTTGGATTCTCTTGGTTTTTCAAGCCTTTGTATTGTAACATCGCCAAGCCTTTGCAGTACGGGGTCCATTACGTGAAGAAACTTATTTTATCTCTGCATATGCCTTCTTAATACTTTCGAAAAACACTTTTTTCTTGTTCATTTGTTAGCTAGAAATGTTTTGTTTACATGTAAATTTGAATTAGCCGCCATACAGTATTAGTCGAGGGCCGGTATTATTATAATTTTTACATTAAATTAGTTCTTGCAAGTATATAAACGGATTAGAAAGAAGTCTGGACGATAAAAAAGTTTAGGATCATCATACATCAGATTTATCTAACAATGAGTCCATTAATTTAAGGGATACAATAAACACTATCACAAGATAATCAAGATTCACCACTCACTTTTCTTGGCTATCTTGATGATAAGAGTCACTAGAATTAATCAGATTTTAAGAGGAGAATCATTTATAAACGAAAAATCATCTTCGGAAGAGCACTGGCAATGATTTAAAGAATATAATTGTAAATTATCAAATATCAATAATCACCAAAATGGCATTGAACGACGGCATAACTCACGATTTCAGAAATATCGACACAGAGAGCGCTGCTGATTCAGTTTATTTTAATGACGCCGTGGCTCTGTTGGCAACAACGGAAATTTAAATCAAGAAGAATAATTTAACAATAATTTAATCACATTAATGTTTGTAGATTTATATTCTATTAAAAATTGTCTTATGGAACTCATGTAAAGTAGATTCATTTGATAATTCAGTATTCATAACTTTGTTCATATACGTCATCTCGGACGTTTTATCGGGAAATTGAAACAAATTTGGCAAAAAATAAGGATTTATGTTAAAAAACCCTTTAATCTTTTGATATTTTAATTGCAGTTTATTCGAAGAATGTTAAAAATCAATTAATTTTGTAAAATCTTTCTTTTTTATATTATAGTAACTTAAATTTTTAAATGTTGTCAACATTCGTATTGTGTTGTCAAAGAGACAGCTGTCATTTAAACAAACGTCAAAGTCAAATTTTATTTTTAGGTTAGTTTAATAGTTCCAAAACAAAATAGAGTTTTCAAAATATTCAAATACATTTTCTTTTTAACAATGGCTCATGCCCAATTTTTGGATGAGCTGATTCGCGAATATTTATTGTACAGAGGTTTTGGTGCGACTTTAAAAGCTTTCGATTCAGAATTGAAATCGGATAAATTAAAAAGTTTTCGAGTCGATAAAATAATAGATCAATTTATGCTTTCAATAAATACCTACGATCTTAATTCTTTACGGGAACTGTGGAGTCACCTTAATAGACATATGTTCTCCAAGTTAGAGAGCAGTTTTTTGCCTAGTAAGTTCATATTCTACAATAGATTTAACCCTCTATTATATAAAAATTTGAAATGAGGTCATTAATAAAAATCTGGTATATAACATGTATCTACTTATAATATAGTACATTGTGAGTTAAAAAAAAAAAAAACTGACAGAATAAAATGTATTAACATATCTATCCTTCAATATTTTGTGTAGTATAACAAAAATAAGTGTTTTTTTTTTGTGTCATCCGCATCAACTGCTAAGGTTATTAGCCTCGTTTTCTGTGTAGGCTTTGTTACTGTTTCCCATCGCCACTTTAGGAACAGCACTGTTAATTAGAACCCAACTGTGAATGGTCGAGTGGGGAATCCTACCAAGGCATCAGAATTAATTTTAAATAATTTAAATTAAATAAAAAAATCCGGGCCAACGGTGGGATTCGAACCTGGGACCCTTGGATCCACAGGTAGAGACTCTACCACTGAGCCACCCACCCCAAAATAAGTGTTCTTTGCAAATTTTTATTGCCCACTGATCCTGTTTCTACAGGCCTTGTCTTTTTAAATGTTATTTTATTTTAGGTGTTAGAAAACTTGAAAATGCTGTTTTAAAAATGTACCTGATAAATACTGTAGTGACCAGTAAACCAGAAAGAATGAATGAATTTTTTGTAAAAATGACTCCAGAATTACAAAATCAAAGTGAATGGAAAGATTGGTTTGGTAAGAGACAATGTTTAACTTTTATTTAACCTCAAACATCCTCATAAAACCTCCCTTAACTAAGTATCCTTAGTCTTGTGATCAATAAAAGTCCTTGCATTTATAGGTTCTAGTTGATTTCATCATTCCAGTTTTATTTAGATCTTCTCCGTTTTGTTTTAAAGATCTTTTAATAAATGCTGCTCAGACCAATTTAATTGTCTTTAATATTTTATAGTGTATAACTTAGCATACATGTAACCATTTTCTTTTTTTTTTCTTTAATAATTTTAAACTAATATGTCTAATTTGATGTCACCAAAATTTTTTTAATGTAAATATAAAATATAGGTATATTTTTTAAGATTAAGTATTTTGAAGTTGCTAAAAACTGTTTGTGTTTATTTAAGCAAGTAAAGTATATTTTATTGATTCAGTATTAAATTCATATTCTTGACATCCTGCCTGAATCGACATGTTCATATCTTACAATTATCTTTTATTAATGCAGTTGATAAGTATGGTAAACATAATTGATATGCATTTTTTCACACTAAGTATATGTTCCTAAATTATTGTAACAAATAATGGGAATGTTCTGTATGGTGGAAAAGTTGAATTGAAAATGATCCAATAAGGGTTTTGCAAATTATCCAAATAAAAATATGTCTTCTGACAAGTCCTTTTTAGTAGCTTATCCAGTAATGGAGTCTATTGATTTCACCATTTTATAATCAGGTGATACCACAGCCCCTATCTTCCATTCAAATAATTATTCCAAAATTATGACAGCTACTAAAAATCAATACTTATTCTTTATTCAATAGTACATAATACTTAAAAACTTTTGCTGAATAATTATTTAAACCACCATATGTTATTAGTTATTATTAATAATCTTTAAATATGTGTTGCAGTTTTACCATATGTTAAGAATCCAGAAGATAATCCCACATTTTCATTACATTTCACAAAGCAGTGGCAGGACACTCTTTTACTGTCTGTACATAACTTTTTAGCCACAATTATACAGGTAGGTAAAAATGCAGATAAGTATTTATTACTTATTTATTATTTAATGATCTACAGGAAATTAGGGATAACAAATGGGATTTTTAATATTATACAAGATGTTTTTTTTATGAAAAGTTAATTGTAATTCTTTTAGTACATGCCAACTCCAACTCTGATGCATTATGAAGAAGATGCAAACAAAATTAACAAGTTGGAAGAAAGGAATGAATCTTTGAAGGAACGTTTGGCCATTTTACTTGATAGAGGACCCCAATCAAGCGTTACACCTGTTCAGGTCGAACCCCCTCCTCATTTACTGGATGATTTCTATGTTATTGCGCAGGAAAACAACTTAGGAGAAAGCCAAGCTAGAAGTTTACGAAGTATTATTAGGAATATGAGTAGTAGTCCAATTTTAGGAAAGAAAGATAATGTTACGGGAAAAAAAAGATCTGGAAAATAATGAATAATCGTCTTTAGGGGTATTTTATACTTTTTGATAATCATCGAATCACTCGGAATTTTTCGAGCTATAACGTGAAATTGAACCAAAATAATGTTTTCTAGTCGATATTTTTTACTCATCATAAAAAAATTGTACCTTCATCATATAGTTTTAAAATTTTTACAGTCAAAGCCAAAGGTCAAATTGAAAATTGCTCAAAGTCAATACTTAATACAGGGTGAAAGAGAGACTCTTTTTTTTATCATATCCTCAATTGTCATACATCATTCCCCTCTCCTCACCTCAGCCACTCATACCAATACAATTTAAATAATATGGAAATGTAGCACATCATCGAGAAGGTAATTTTATGGGGAATTAGCAATATAACTGTTCATTGCCTCACTATTACTTATTGTAAGGTGTGACACTTCATTTGAAAGGTCATTTTTAGTAATTAAATGAACCACCTAGCATTCTCTTTATTTAAATTAAAAATTAACCTAATGAAAAACATGTCTTCAACCTTCAAAATTTGTTACCAGTGAAATTTGTAGACATTTATGTCATTTTAAACTAAGGTGATGATAGTATTGTTTTTATGAATTTTTATAATTGGCTTGTGTATTATTCAAAATTATAATTATTTCCGCTGCTCTTCCCTTTCCAACAAAATAAAATCATACTTTCAATCAATACTATCATACAATCTTCAACAATACCCATATCCCACGTAACCAAAACAATACATATTTGATAGAACTGACAATTAAGTTGTTTTATCAGAGGACATGGGATATGGATAATAGAAAAAAACTCTGTATTATGTATCTTAAATGAAGACAAGGAGCAAATAATAGATACCAAAATGTCTTTACTCAGGGTATTGCTCTTAAATTCCGAGCTTTGATTATCATTTCCAGTAATCGTGTTAAACTTAAACCAAAAATTTTTTAAACTATTGTTACCATTTAAATCCATTTCGTCCTTTTATATATTTATACTTTTACGGTTAATGCAGAATGAACATTTTACATTTGCAATCACTTATATTAGTTTGGTATTATGATAGTAAGAACATAAATTATGTTTATAGAAAGATAAGAAATTCATATATTCTATAAACAATAATAGTAAAAGGTGTATAATAGTTAAAGTGCCTATTTGCACTTCAACAGGTATTTTATTAAATGGAAGCTAGTTTGTGAAACAAGGAGGGAAATATGTATATGAAATTCAAAATTTACAAAATAATCTTGCTAAATGTTTGAAATTAATGTTTTCTTAAGTTTTATATAACCTTTCAAAAATCTGATTTATTTCATAATGAAGTCTTTATGAAACCAAATTCTATTTAGTATTGTAGTTTTTTGAACAATGATCATTAATTTAAATTATATTTTGACAAATTATAAAGTCACAAGTTTTTTTAATATTTCTCTCCATATTTTTACTTTTCTTTTTCTTTACAGCTGACTGAATAATTGTTTTATTTATGTGATATTTGTCAAAGTTGCATTATTGATGTTCTATTAATATTGTGGATTGTCTTTTCAAAATATATTTTAATTAACAAAAAACTTTTACTCTCATTGTTTGCCCATAACTGTCATAATAAACTAAACTGCAGGAGTTGCTGTATGATGTTTACAACTTTTGAGGCAAATTTACTTGCATCAAATAACCAATGCCAGTTGATCAAGTTTTTTTTTTCTATTTGTATTGCACCTAGCTATATTTCAGCTAACCAGCAATTTATTTTTATGATATTACGAGATGAACCCTAAAATGATACTTTATTAACTGTGTATAGAAGTCATTAAAATAACTTTTTCAAAAAAACTTACATTAAAATGTATCCAGTACGGTCCTATAAATAATGTGTTTTCACCATTCACTGATTGTTGAAACACAAGGTTGAGTTTTTTAAAAAAATAGATTTGTTTTAACGACTCTTATACACAGTTAAAAAGTACCAACTTAGGATACACCCTGTATAAGTAAACTTAAGAAGCTTATAAGGATGGTGGTGTACTTCAATTATCTCCTGAGCATGAGTTCACTAATCATGTTAGACTTATAGAGACTAATTTTGAGTCTTTTATTTTCTATCCATTTTGTTACTAGGTTTAGAGACTTTTGCATACGATATCTAACTGTAATGTTGTATTTACCCTGTGTTATGATCACTATGTTTTTAAGTCCATTATTTTCGAGAATTCTTATTGGAGACAGTACTTCTCCCTGGAGGCATCCTCATGCTGGCTATCAACTCCCATAATGGTTGCATATATTCAATCCAGGCCACGAATGTTGTCTTCTATATTTCAGTTCTGACGATGGAATTAAAGGAGGTATTGTCAAATGCTCCCTCGATGTCCAAGAAAGATCCTAAACATTATCTCCTTGTGTTCCTGTGTGTTCTTCGTCCTTTTTATTACTTAGAGGGCTGTTTAAGTTGATTTCCCTTTACTATGATCTTTATCTTTGTCAGTTATAAGCAGGTAGGGTTAGGTTTGGCCCAGAACACTGCGGCCTCTTGGGTCTATTGTATTCCCCTGCTTTCCCCGTATTCAGGTACTATCTTTGGAATAGTCCTGTGTATTTGGTTAGTTTTATTAAATTCCCTACCAAGTGTTACTGGGGCGTTCTTTCCGGTTCTAGGCCGAAGGGGATGAAATGTTGCCTAGTAAGAGCTTCGCATTCGAAGATCACATGGTATGAGGTTTTTTCCTCTGCCATGAAGAGTCTACATGTAGTGGGATCATGAAGGTGTTTCAGCAAGCAGTGCCTTGCGAGTTGTAGTGCCTCAGTAGCAATGTGTGGGTTTGGTCCCCTTAGCATGAGCTTACTGATGTTGTGCCCTCTTATCTGTTGCCAGTGAATTTGGTGTTTTGTGGTTATCCACTGCCTGTCGAGTAGAGGTTTTACTTATCCCAAATACAGGTTTGGATCCTGTGAATGGTAGATCTGATCCCACTTTGGAGCGTTCATTAACCTTTTCATTTCCTTGGATACCTTTGTGCCCTATTACCCACGCTAGTTTTACCTTGTGGGTTGCCAGATCATTTAGTATCCCAAGGCAGTTCCAGACAAGCTTTGACTTGTTTGAATCGATCCTTTAAGATATTTGAACCAACATCCCTTCTCTAATGTCTATCTAGCAATTTTTCTAAAGTAAGTATGAAAGACATTGGAATTATTGGTCTTAGGCCATTTCCTGTTTCGTATATAAGAAGTCTTCAAATAAGATCGAGTTTTTCTAGTCTAAACGACGGTATACAATGTAAGTTTTCCTTTTTGAAGCCTTTTATAAAAAATATTTATTAATTAAAAAATGACAATTAATATAAATTAAAAAAAAAACAGAAGCCTATCTTAAGAATACTACATACAGTACGCTAACCGACGCATCAAGCAAAATAAAGATGTGACGCTTAATAATAATTGGACGTGAAAAGAGAGTACTTGGTTTAACCACGATCTTTAGATGGCAAGCATGGGATATTGTCTTCCCCACGTAGTGACGGTATTATTCTATTTCTCTCTATTCAATAGCATTGTCTTTATCTAACGTCCTCCTTTAGTCAGGATTGGAAAGTATACGTATTGTATATCAAATATACAAAAATCTGAAGGGCATCACTTTTAAAATCGGCTTTTCCCCCTTAGTTTTATACAGCGTCGGCTATTGAACGCTTTCCAATACGCTTTGCTAATATCCAAGTAAAAACTACATAGCATTAGCCCTAGCAGGAAACGAATATCTTCCACTGTGTGCCTATTCACATCGAACAGCGTGTTGTTATAGCTAATTGTAAAATTAATATTAACGGTAACTGATTAATAAATTTAGTTTACATTAAATATATATTTTGTTGTAAGAAAAAAAAAGTCAACCATAAAAATACTTTATTTTCAACTTATTTAAGGTAATATTTATAACTCAGTCAACAAGAATGTAAAGTAAAAATATATATAATAATGTATAAACTCATAAACAAATGTACATATATGTAGGTGATGGCTGTACGAAATGTAAATAATAAATAGTACGAAAACACCTGGTGATTCAATAATCAATCGACAGTTAATTTTTTTAAAGAGAAAATTTTGAAAGTTTCCCGAAAAAAAGTACTTTTAATTCTATGCTCAAATTTTTCGCTTAAAAATACAGAAGATTTAAATTCTTCTTTATGTTGATATGGGAAATAAGATTTTATTGAAGTCATTAAAATAAAACAACTTTTTTAAAAAAGCGGTTCACTGTACATTCTGTACAACACCGATGCTGTTCTATAATGCATGTACTTCAAAGGTATTTGTCATAAGAAAGCAACATACTCCCTTCCAAATGCATTCTTATTATATAAACACACTACCGATCACACCCGAGTGAATTATAATAATCTGTGAAGCGTGATTCATTATAAAAACAAAAAGGCCAAAAAGTTAAAAACGAAGACTTTTAATTTAGTTTAATTTTTGATACATAAGTCCAGGTCCGGATTTAGATTTTTTTAATACTGTCTTTCTTAGTTTTTTAAAGTAAATTATTTTAAAAAGATGTTTATTTTTAACGACTTCTATACATAGGGTAAAAAATGGTTCAATGCAGGATTTCACCATGTATAATGAGTATTATTTTGGTAATCTATCATCGTTTTCAAAAATAACTACTCCAATCTGTTTATTTTCAATCTTTCTGAATTTCAGTCGTAATATCGTCACTTATATAATTAATTTTGGTTTCTCCTCAATTCTCCGAAAATAAAGAATTCATTATTTTCTTTTTCTGCTTATCCAATTATTCGTTTTTAAGTACCACATTTTTAAAAGTATATTTTTAACTTGTGGTGATACTTAGTTCCCCTGTTGCTTTTATTCCAGTCCATTGTCATTTATTTATTGTCTATGATATCCGTTTTCAGCCTATTCCTTTCTTTCCTCCTATTTTTTCTTTCCAAAATCGGTGTAATAGTCGATACTTTTCATATCTAATTATGTGCCTGAGGTACATGGTTTTCCTTTTCTTATTTATTTATATCTTTCTATATCTATTAATAATAATTGTAAATTATTTAAATGTGATGTATTCTAAGATTCTCCTTCTTACTAATTCATTTCTAAAGGGTAAATTTCGGAAAGTCCCATCCTGTCAAAATAAAAGGTTGTCTTAATTATATAAGTATTCTCGATGCAAAATCCTAAGAGGGTACAAAATTCAGGGCTAGTAAAGACTAATTTTCCCGGACTATAACAAATTCTTTGTTAATAATTAACAAGCGACGGTCGACTCAGAGAAAAACTAATTAAATCCTAATGGTATAAAGGCCAATAATCTCAGAGATCTCAGCT